GGGGAATATAAAAATAAAATTTATTATTTAAAAAAAAAATAAATAAAGTCCATTGATGAGGTAAAAAAAAAAAAAAATCTGTTTTTTAAAGATTTATTTATTTATTTATACAAGCACTGGGTACAGTCAGAAGTGCAGGAGGGTGAGAGAATTCACCAGAGTCAGAGAGGGGAGCAAAACAGGCAGACTGACTAAATACACTGCTGAGGGGAGCAACAGGCATGGCAGGAGAGGTCTGTGCACCATGTGGAACCCTCGCCCTGTGGCCGGGGATCGAACCGGCGCTGCAGAGCACTTTCACAACACTGCGCTCAACCGCTGCACCACCAGGGAGGCCCTCATTAAAAAAATTTTATGTGGGCCACTCAAATCTCTGCAGCAAGCTGAACGTGCACCATGCCACGCCAGTTTGCTAAACCTGCTTTACAGTGACAGTGCGTGTGTTCTGTGCCCAGCAAGAGATCTTTGAATATCCGGGAAGTGCCGCTGCACAGCACTGGACTTCAACAGTGAGAACCCAGAGAAGTCTCCCTCCATCCGGCGGGTGTCATGCTGTGTTCACGGCAGATGTCCTTCCACCTCCCCTTGTGCTACCTGCTCCACGAGGCCTTCACTCTTTGGTCCAGAGGATGGACTTTTCTCTCTGGGAAATGGTTTATTTTTGTAATAGAATTTTATTGAGATCGAGTTTATGTATCATAAAAAAGCACCCAGTGTAGTTAGTGCATTTTAGTATATTCACGGAGTTGTGCAGCCATCACTGCTGTCAGACTTTCAGACATTTCCGTCGTGCTGCGAGGAAACCTTGTGCTCATAGTCGCTTGTCATTTCCACTCCCAACCAGGCGACCACACGCGGCTCTCGCCTCTATGTGTGCTTCCCTTGGAGCATCTCCCGTCAGTGGCCCACACAGCATGTGTTCTTCTTTGCTCGGCTTCTTTTACTCAGCAGAATGTTTTCGAGGCCCAGCCATGTTGGGGCAAGGATCAGTCCTCATTCCCTTTTATTGCTGAGTCATACTTCACCTGATGGAGATAGCAACCTTGTATTGATCCTTTCATCAGCGGATGGTCTTTTGGGTTGTTTCCACTGTGTGTATTTGCTTGTTTCTTTGTTTTGCTATTGTGAATAATGTTGCTATGAATCTTGTAAGACTTTTAAGAATAGGATTGGACAAGAGTGGGAACACGTGATTCTGAACAGTTTGCTGGTATACCTGGAAGCACTGCAGTAACCTCTGGGATTATTTCTGGGTCCTTGGCCTTCGGCAAAAAAACATAAATAATAAGAAATTCTTATTTTTTAATAGCAGCCTGTCCATTATATTTTTGCCATTATTAAAAAATCAGGCCAGCAGTCCTTTTAGTGGAAAAACAAGGCTGCTAAATTCCTATTTTATTCCTTGCAAGTGGAAGTGTGATGCGCCTGAATGAAGGGAAGTCAGTCTTTTCTCTTGCTTCTTTCTCAGGTAGTTGCTTCATGGCACCAAGACTGCAAGTTAATTGGGAGGCCACCTACACTCCCTGCATCATTTTCTAGAGATGTACACACTAACAAAATTATTTACAATGAGCTGGGTGCCTGTATTGCAGTCTATTTCCCAGAAATGAGTGAAGCCTTGGCTTGTTACCTGCCAGTCAGCCAACAGGGATTGGAGGCACTGGACTCTTGGGCATGGATTCACATGTGGGTGTGGGGCCATCACACTGGATTTATACAGTTGTGATGAGAGATGTGGAGCTGCGTTCAGAGGGAAAAAAAAAAGACAGCCTGCATAACTTATGCTTTTCTTTCTCTTTTCTTCCCTCCCAGTGAGAGATCTAGAACACATTGCATCGTGCTCCATCCATCTCTGATCAGCCATGGTCATGTTGTGTTTGCATCATATCTTCCTCAGCCTGGAACATTCTCCCCCAGCTTGTCCCCTGCCAGACTCCACCACAGTGCTACCTTCCTTGGCGTTCTCCCAGGTGCTCCCCTTCCTGTACCCCCTTTGTGTATAACTCCCAGTAGAGCCCCGTAGAACTCTTTGTTCCTCACTGCTTGTTTGCGTATATCTTTTCCGCTGAGCTGGGAAACATTCACGTATGTTTCTTCATCTTTCGTGTGTTTTGTCATCTTTGTGACTGGTGCCTGACTTGGTACCTGGCTGTGATATTGTGATTCAAAAGACAAATGATTTGGTCACCTAGGTGAGCAAAAAAATCTATTTCTTATACATATTTGATCTTCACAGTTTCTGGCTCACAGTCTGCCCCAAACCTTGAAATTTACCAAGTGTTGAGAATATTTAAGTGTCTCTTTTTAGGTTAACAAAGGTAACTTTTGGAAAATACCTGCCATGGGGGCTGCTTGGCAGGGACAGCAATGTGAATAGAGGGATCCTGCCCCTGACTTGCAGGGGCTAGAGGTCGAGTGCAGTCACCAGGGACTGATGATTTAGTCACTGTGCCTTGTGTAATGAAGCCGCCATAAAATCCCCAGAGGGAGGGAAGGGGGAGCTCCAAGAGCTTCCAGGCTGGGGCAATAGAGCACTTACAGGTGCTGCGGGGCAGACCCCAAACTCCAAAGGGACGGAAGCTCTCTTGTTTAGGATCTTGTAGGTTTCTCCTTACCTGGCTGTGGATTGGTATCCTCTGTAATACGTTGGTGATATGGTAGGTAAATGGGTCTCCGGAGTTCTGTGTGGCGTTCTAGCAAATTAATGGAGCCCAAGAAGGGTGGGTTCTGGGAACCCCCAATTTATAGGGAGTCAGTGAGAAGCCTGGGTTACAGCCTGTGCTTGCAACTGGCCCCTGGGGTCTGAGGAGGGGGTTGCAGAAACCTCCCATCTGTAATCAGGCTGTTACCTGCACTTGCGGCCTGCCTCTGAAGAGGAGGGCAGTCTTGGAAGATTGAGCCCTTACCCTGTGGAATTGTGTCAGAATTAAGTTGAAAAGAGTTGAATTTTCAGACCCCCTTGGCGTCCGAGACTTACTCCCTGGGTGGGGAAACCTTTGCACACTCACATGGGAATTGGGTCCTTGTGCCCCACATATGAGAATATACGGGGTGCCCAGAAATCCTCGTGGCCCGAAGGCGTGCTTGCTTACCTGGCCCAGGTACTGTGGACTTTACTCTTCCCACGTGATCTCACACGAAAGGTGCTAGGTAGCAAATAGTAGCAGCAAAGTGTATTGAACAAAATTACCTTGTGCAAACTTTTGGAAGTAAAGGTAATTTAAAAATGTAAAGTTTGCATGAACCTGGTCCTCTGGAAACATCGAGCAAAAATTCTTGATTAGGAAAGGTGATTCTGCTGCAAAGGATGGGAAAAGTCTGACCAAGATGGCTTCTTCTCAGGAGAACTGCAGAATTGGGGTGTGGCCAGTTTCATTCTCTATCTTTTTGTACCACTGTGCCTCTCCCTAAATTTTGGGCGCAAAGGAGAAACAGAACAGGGAGAAAGACTTTCTCATAATAAAATGCCAAGGCAACACCTAGCCCAGGTCAATTAACTACTTTCTCCTTCCTAGTGAAGTTTAGCAGAATCCAAAGACAAAAGAGGGAGCACAGAGTCCTCAACAGGTTAATTCCTTGGTGGTTCTCACAAGTGACTTGAGTCCAGTTGGGGGTGTATTTCACCAGGCTAGAGTCAAACTGTTTGGGGGAAAAGGATGTCCCAAAGCAAATTCCATACAGGCTTTGTGGACTCCAACCCCACCCCAGGTCAAAGCCAAAGACACTGGGAACTCCAAATCCCATCACCACCAAAGGGAAGGTGGCTGAGACCTGAGGGTGGGGTTAAGCAGCCAGGTGGATACAAAGGGCAGACACGTGGGCTTTGGGGGCTCTCCATTTTTGGGCTCTCGGCCAGCTCGCAGCGTCCGGCCAGCTCGGAGAGTGACTTTGGGTTTCCAGGTCGTCGGATCGGGTAGGACGCATTAAAGACTTTATTTCCCTATTTTCTCCCTGAGTTGTCCATTTTCCTTATTTCCTTTTCCCTTGTAAATAAACCTTTTATTAACCTTTTGTGTGTGTCTGTAGTAGAGTATTCATAAGTCCCTTTAAAGCGCACGGGTGAGGACCCACAGCCAGGAACCCGTTTAATATTGGGGTGGCTCTATAACAAAACTACAGAGGACACTTCACTTTGAACGAAGGCAATCAAGTGTCTTCTCTCTAAAGTGGTTTGTGCTTGTTAATAGTGCAGAGGGGAGCTCATCCAGGGCCGGGAGCAAGCCTGAAGGGAAGCGGGCATGTTCGCAGGCACACTTCTGCAAGCCAAGGGCAGTGGGCCTCACGCATCCCCTGTTGGAACCACATTGGCCCTTTTCATTCAGGAGACTCAGACCCTGTGTAGGGAGTTCCTTTTTTCCTTCTCCTGGGGTTCTAGTAGCAGGCAAAGCCCCAGGGATTCAGCAAAGATTTGTGCATTTGCAAAAGGACCTGCTCCCAGAGTCATTGATACCCCAGGGCAAAGTACTGAGTTCAGGCATCAAGGGCCTGACAGAGGGACTCTGAGCTATTTACATCAGTATTTTGATAGAAAGAGAAAACTTGAGGCACAAAAGTGTAGGGAGGGAGGGGTGATGGATTGCCTCATCAAAGAGGGTAAAGAATGACCTTGTGGGCAGTGGCACTGAGGAAAGATGTCATTTCCACACACATGTCCACAATACCACAGCCTCATGTGAAAGGGAAGGAAACCTTGACTGTCTAACTAAATTACTTTTATTATCTCAAAATGAAAATGAAGCTATAGCGAAAAAAAAGAAATTAATTTTTTCACACTGAGTTTGTGGACAATTGGTTTGTATTCAGACCTTGAAGAGGGAATTAGGCTTTAGTCCTCTCAACTCTGCAATTTTCCGTTTTTGTAGATGATGATGATGATGATGATTATTATTATTGTTATTATTATCATTATATGAATCCATGCTCATAAAAATTCTTTGAGGGTTTATTTGGATTTTCCCCAGCAAAATTCTTATTTCCTTTTTGCATTTTCTTCCTTGTAGATTTCATGGAGGAAGCAGGTCTTACATTATACTTTCCTAGTGCTGTCCTGAGGTCCATATACAACTCAAGTCTGGCTTTCTGCCTCTGGATTGTATTTCCCAGAGAAAAATTTAAGTTTTCATTTCTAAAGGTCCATCAAGTATCAACAAAATGAGTGAAAATAGGTCCACATCATCATAAAATTTCAAAACAAGGCGGATAAAGGAAAGACTGCAATATTTTAGAGAGGAAAAAAACAGGTGTAGTAGTAAGGATGAAGATCAGAATGATCTTGAACTTCTCAACAACACTAGCAACAAAAGATAACAGAACAATGCCTTCAACAGACTGAAGAAAGATGATTTCCAGGTAAAATTCTACATCCGGCCAAACCATTAGTTAAGGTAGTGAACTACCGAAGGTGAAATAGATATTTTCCAACGAGCGAGCCTCAAGAAAACTCATTTACTCTTGCTAAAAGCCTTTAGAGGATATTGACTAAAACAAAAAGCAGAAGGGGAAGAGTGGAGATAGGGCATGTTATGCAGGAGGATGGCAAAGTGTCTGTGATGGGAGCTCGTAGCATGACAGCTAACCAGGTATAGGGGCCAGCAATCCATACGGGAGCTCTGGGACTTAAGAGATGTTTATGCTGACAGAGCTCATTTCTTCTGCCATTATTGTCTCTTCAATCTGATGAACCTGTTGGATGTTGTGCTCTAATAAAATGAGAATATAAACCATGAAAGAGGAAAATGGGAAGTCTAAGAAACAGGAAGTCACTCAGGACATAGGCCAGGGGAACTCCTAGGATCAGAGTGGAAAGTAATCCCAGTGCGCTGTGCAGCCTGCCTAGAGAACCAAGGTCCAGGGAGAAGGAAAATGGGGTGTTTTAGGAGGGATGTACCTGGGGGATCACCTGCTGTGACTGACCTGGTGCAGAGAGGCCCTTGTGAGGTGAGGGATGAATCATCAATAGGTACAGAGAGAACTAAATGAAGGAAACATTAAAAGACTTATTAACTTCAGAGACATGAAAGGTAAGAAAGATAACAAACACTCTAATTTGTAATGAATAATATTTGCATGGGCATATTAATGTAAATGCTGAATAATAATTAAATTAAAAATCATGGAGGGTAGGAGAAGTAAAGGGGATCATTAATTAAAGAGAACAGTATTCTCCACTACCATGACAGATGCAACCGAATTATGTTCCACATGGATGATACAACAGAGATCACATACATTATTCAGAATATGCAGATCATTATTGCAGGTTCTTGTTTATTTTAATTCTTTTTTATATTTTAAAATGATAGATAAAAGTACAAAGTAACTTTTAAAAGTTTCTGAATTTTGCAGTATACTCTCGGACGAAACAAAAGAAAAAGCAACAAACAATAAGGGAATTAAGAAAATGAAGAAATTCAGGGTCAGAGTAACCAGTGACTTACTAATGTGCTCAAATAATCTTCATCTATTCAGACAATTCCTTTGGTTGGGCTGCATGAAGTATTTATAGGCATTTATAGGCAACTCTATTTCTTCCCTCCTATCTTCTCAGTAGCCAAGAAGAAACATTTATTCTTTTTTCCTTTGTGTATTTATTAAAGTACTTTTAGGAATTATTGCTACTTTTTTTAAAAGTAAGTTTAATTTAGGTAATGCTAGTTTGCTTCAGAAATTAATGTAGAACTTACAATATTTTAGGTAAATATAGACATGTATAATATTGAATTTAATAAATGTATCCTAGCATTTATGTATTTAGAACTTATATTTAATTTACATCTACTTAAAAAATCCAAAGTGGGCTTCCCTGGTGGCACAAGGGGTTAAGTCTCAGCACTATGAAGCAACCTGCAGCCTCTGCATCAGAATTCAATCTCCCGGACTGACTAGGGAGCAACCCACATGGCTCAGCAGACCTCTCCTATCTCACCTGCTGCTCCCCTCAGCAATGTATTTAGTTCAGTCTGCCTGTTCTGTTCCCCACTCTGTCTCTGGGGAATCTTCTCACTCTTCACGCCTCCACCCCACACTTCTGGCCTGTACCCCAGCTCTTGTATGCACAAATAAACAAATCTTTTAAAAATAAATCTAAACAGATGCAATACAAGTACTTTTGCATTAACTAGTTCAAGTCATTGAAATATTATTCAGAGGGGCCTCCCTGTTGGCGCAGGGAGTCTCAGCTCTCTCAAGCCTTATCCAGCCACTGCAGCAAGAGCTGGATCTGCAGCCAGGGAGCTACCCCACATGGCTCAGCAGACCTCTCCTGTCTTGCCCACTGCTCCTCTCAGCAGTGCATTTCAGTAGATCTACCAGTTTTGCTCCCCGCCCCCCCTTTGGTCTCTGGTGAATCCTCTCACCCCCTTCGCATCTTCCTTGATGACTTTGGTAAATGGGTGACAACGTTTTCCTTTAAATCTAGGAAATGTATGCCTCCATAAAATGTCCATTTGTTAGCTGGTTATGTAACACCCCTATAATTTAATATGAAGAAACTGTGGGGGCCTCCCCAGTGGCGCAGCGGTTGAGTGCTGGGTTGTGAAGCTCCCACAGCCTCTGCAGAGCCGGTTCGATCCCCGGCTGCTCCCCGGCCACCGGGGGAGGGTCCCACATGGCGCGCAGACCTCTCCTGCCGCCCGCTGCTCCCCTCAGCAGTGTGCTTCGGTCCTTCTGCCTGCTCTGCCTCCTGCTCTGGCTCTGGTGAATTCTCTCATCCTCCCTTGCTTCTGACTGTACCCAGTGCTTGTATAAATAAATTAAAAAAAAAATATGAAGAAACTGTGGCCAGGATATTAGGTGATTTGTTCAAGACCTGGGACCAGCACTTGGGACTAAAAAATTGCGCAATCCACAAGAAGGTGTGAAGAGTGGAAGACAGTGATTTTTTGTTTCCTATCAAGATTTATTTTTGTAAAAGAAATAAAACATCATTGGGGACAAGCATTGAAATAAAGAAGTAGAGCCAAAAAAACCAAGGCAGACAGCTTCACAGTGCTGCGCTCAACCGCCTGCACCACCAGGGAGGCCCTTTTCTTACATAGTTGTTCATTTTTGTCTAGTCATTGGTTTCTCCCCTCAGGGGTGGTCCCCCTAGTTCTCCCACCACCATAGCACCCATGACCCATCCCCTTGTGCTCTTCCTTCCCCTCTGCTCACCCCCCTCCCTCCCCCTCCTTGCTGGATGCCTCAGGTGTTGGTCAGCCTGCGAGGGTGGTCTTTTTCTTTACCGTTTGTTCTGTTTCTCTATATTTCACATGTAAGTGAAACCATCTGACATTTATCTTTCTCCTGCCTTATTGTGGCATCATCCCTTCGAGCACCATCCATATCACCACAAGCGGCATGAATTTGTCTTTTTAGATTGCAGAGTAATGGTCCGTGGCATAATTATACCACAATGTTTTGATCCATTCATCTATTTTCTGGCATTTGAGTTGTTTCCATGTCATGGCTACTGTAAACAGTGCTGCAATAAACACAGGACTTCAGGTTTCTTGTTTGTTTGTTTTTTTTTTTTTTGTCCCTTAGGTAGATTCCTAGGAGTGAACGCTAGATGATGTGTAGACCCGTTTTCAGTGTTCTGTGGAACCTCCACACGGCTGCCCATAGTGGCTGGACCAGTTTACGCTCCCACCAGCGGCATCAGAGGCTCCTTTTTCTTTGCTGCTTCTCCAGCATTTGTTGTTGCCAGTTTTTCTTTTTTAGTGTGGTGCGTTCTCACTGGAGTGAGGAGGTAGCTCATTGGGGTTTTGATTTGCATTTCCCTGATACTAGTGATGGTGAACGTTTTTTACATGCCTGTTGGCCATTTGCATTTCTTCTTTGGAGAAGTGTCTTTTCACCTCTGCCCATTTTTTGGACTGGGTTGTTTTTGTTGAGTCGTGTAAGCTCTTCGTAGATCTTTGACATCATTCCCTCAGCTGTCATGTGGTGTGCCGATATTTTCCCCCATTTGGTGGGTGTCTCTGTGTTGACCATCTCTTGCTGTAGCCCCAGCTGTCTACAGTCTCTCTGTTTTCCTTCCTTGCTTCTGGAGGAGAAACCTCAAAGACGTTTCTAAGGATCGTGTCATTGAGTGTTGGACTGTGTTCCCTTCGCGTATTCTATGCTGCCAGGTTTCACATGCAAGTCTTTCATCCACTTGAGTTGGTTTGTGTATGGTGTGAGGTAGTGGTCTAGTTTCATTCTTTTGCATGCGGCAATCCAGTTTCCCCAGCACCATTTATGGAAGAGGCTGTTCTTGTTCCAATGTATATTCTTTGCTCCCGTGTCATAGGTTAGTTCACCATTGGTCTCTGTGTCTGTTTTTGTTCCAATACTGTTTTCATTATAATAGCTTTGTAGTATTCTTTGATGTCTGGGAGTGTAATACCTCGTGGGTCTGCTGCTCCTAAGCGGATTGTTTGGCCACCATTTTGTCACCTATACTTCTAAGCAAGGTCAAGATGGCCTGGTCAGGTAGGTGCAGAGCCCAACCCTTCAAGGTGCCCTTTCAGATCAAACAAGAGCACAAAGCTGGATCACGCTGGGAAGGCTATGCATCATGAGATATGACCCTGAACGCCCAGAGGTGGGGAGGGGGCTGAGGACCAATGCATAACAAAGGACCCCAGAAGCCAATCAGTGGAAGCCTTGATGATAAGATTTGAATGGTGGCTGGGGATTAGGGTGTGATCTCAATGACAATACTGAGTCATCAAGCAGATGAGAAGTACCTGGAGAGCAGACTCACAATCCCTGATCTTCTACATTCTTCCCCTTTCTTTAATCTCCTATCCTTTAATCTCCTTCTCCTTTCCTTTTGCTCCTCACCCTTACTTGACCAATGCTGTGAATCAATAAAAAGGCCAGGATCTTGCGCTTCAGCAGCATCCTGCATTATGTAGACTGCTCCAAGACTCCTGTTTCTTTATCAGTGTGGTGTTGCCTGATGCAACAATACCTCCTTTCTCCCCCACCCTTTCAGTGAGAAGAACTTTCACTACTAGAGGTTGTTGTGATCCCATATGAATTTGAGCCCTGTTGGTTCCATTTCATCGAAGAACACCACTGTGATTTGTATTGGAATTGCATTGAATCTATAAATTGCATACAGATAGGAAGTCCCATCTAGGTTTGTTACGTTTTTCCAATTATGGAACATTCATAAAACAGAGTGTTAATAAGAAAATGTAGGTTTTATTCTCCATAATTTCTAAAACAGACAAAGTAGATCTGTTCTCTAGAGATGAAGAAAGAATGTTTCAGATGGAAAGGTCATAGAATAGATGACCAGTTATTAGGATATTCTTCCGCCTTTTCGCTGATGGAACGCTAAGTAAGATCATCCCTTTGTCATCTGCTTCATGGTGCCACCAGAGAAAATGTTGCACTTAAGTGACTTACTTGCAGGATA